TGCGCTGCAAACGTGAGCATTTTTGACGATCGTTTCTGTCCAGTCTGCTCGTTTTATCGCGTTTAACCACAGCTGTCGTTGGTTTTTTGTCTGGCAGTGGCAGCAGATATGTGATCACATTTCTAATTTGAGGCTGTATTACGTGGATTCTGGCACCCAACATCACAACAAGATGATATTTTAAGCTCCTTATGTAGCTGGTTTGAATGGGCCGCCTCCAGCTAGCGCTGTGACGTCGCTGACCCTAGTTACCTGTGGTTGGCCTGGCCGTGCGTCACTCAGAACACAACAGGCCAATCAGAAGAGAGGTTCATGAATATTAATTAGACAGGCCAAAATCGACCTGTTCTCAGCAGAGCTCCTGAGAGAGGAGGAGCTGTGGTTTTTGGTGCTTATACCGCAAATATATATATTCTTAAGGACATCTAGACTTTTAAGATGTCAGTTTCACATGCATTCTAAATCTTAAAAACATCTTCTAAACGTCTGTTTGACATCTGATAGGAAACGTGCTATAGACAGATGAGCAAACGCTCTAAAAAATACGTCTTGCAGATGTTAATGCGACGTCTCCGCGATGTACGCGTGCTATCAGGGTTCAGTTTATTAATGAACCAGTGAGATTTTGTTCATAATTAATATTCAGATTAATATTGTACAGTACAGTGTTTAATTTTACGCTTTCTGAAATGGACCAAACTCTTGAAGTGTTCTGTGAAGATCGATTCGCAGTTTTTCTGACGTTCCGTTCGCTTTCCGTTTGAATGAATCGCACTGAATCGCGTGCAGCGAAGCCATAACGCAAACGATTCACGTGATTCAAACGCTTCGTGTGTCTTGATCTTTATAGTCTATGGTCTTGATTCCGTCAGCTCGTGTTTGAGGTTCTTCTGATCATGTTCTGTGCCTCCGACAAACTATTAATCAAACGTATTCGAGATTTTGTGATGCTGAGTCTTTTATATGATTCTTTTGATTCTCGTTTTCGGGCCTCCGTGTGAATCTTTGGCTCGGTGTTGTTGTCGTCAGGAACGCTTGCATGAACTGGGTGTTTTCATTTACGTCCGAGGAGCTGAAATCAATAATCTGAGTTTGTATGAATGAAGGACTATCCCAGATTGCACAGGTACGTCTGCAAGACGTCTGTTAAAGATCTGCTGTGCACAAACATGACAGACGTCAGTTTCACATGCATTCTAAATCATAAAGACATCTTCTAAAGGTGTATTTGACATCTGATAGCAAACGTCCTATAGACGTATTGCAGATGAGCAAAACACGTCTTGCAGATGTAATGCAGACGTTAAATAGACGTGATGTACGTGCGCTATCAGGGAACGGAACAACACGTGACCGGAGAAAGAGCCATGAGTTCATTTCTAAGTGACTCAGTGAATCAGAACCAGCTAATATCGGTGCTAAATCACGTCCTGGTGGATGTCGTGCATCTAAGTGAAGATGCCGAGGTGATTTAGCACGGTAAATGTGGCATGACGCGTCTGTATTTGTGTATCTCACTGCTTCACGTGTGTCTTCATGTGTTATAACCTCTCTTTGTTCTGGTTCTGGTTTTATTTTTTTATATTCTGTCTCTGATGAATGGAAATGCTATTAAAATCAGTCGTGTTTAACACGTGTAGTTGTGGTTTAATTGCTCTCTGGGAAATGTGGATGATTTCTTACCATATTGCATATATAATCATATATGTACATGATTGCATACTTGTAATTAACAATAGCAATAAATTAATCATAATTTAGTGATTCTCCCTAATTCCTCCACATTCAGAGTCTTTATTTACATTTTAAGAAGTGTTTTCTCAACATTGCATCAACTGATTCACGTTATTTCTTAATTACATGTAATGCATTTGAATCTCTTTCACCTAATTATTTTACCTAAAATGTGTAATGTAATGGATTTTGTTACTAACTACAATTTTTGTCATGTAACTCAAACTACAGTTTTCTAGTAACCTATACCCAGCTCTGTGTATATATAGCTAT